ACTTAGAGTTAAACATGACTTTTAATATTTACAATTAATTACATGTGTAATTGTGTCAGTGTATAATATTGTATTACAAAATCCTTCGTCGGCTTCCTTTCTTCTTAGTTTGTGTAAATTTATCCACACTGCTCCTTCGACAAAACTCCGTGCCTTCTATATTATATGTATTCCGCTGGCCGTATTCTACTCACGAGTTAGCATTTCGGTCTTGCGCGGCCTAGCGGCGCCATCCCGTACTGTGAGTCAATGTCGAGCCGTGCGCCATATTGTTTATTGAACTATTTTTTAAATGTTTAATTTTTCTCGCTGTTTAACTAAAAGTAAGAGAATTAAAAGTGCTATAAGTAAGCGAATTAAAAATTTGCCGTGTTACGCGCAGCATACGATCTTTTGTCTTATAACTCAAAAAGTACTTTATGAAAAAAAATCTTATTATACATAGTGTTTTAAAAAGCTCTCGACATAAGCTATAAGAATATGCAATAAAAAACTGGTGGTTTTATTTTAAATGATCAAATTGATCTTTAAATGACTTTCAAATTTGACATTAAGGTCAAAGCCAAGGTCACACATCAGGTCAAATAATCCACCCGTATATATATATATATATATATATATACAGGGTAGTCCGGTAATTGTCGCCTCAACCGTCGTGTTCAGGTAAAGTAAGTTAAACCGAATAGGAAAGTCCTCTATCGTTTTGCGATTTTTGCAATAATTATTGAATTATTAAATAAAAAAGATCGGCCAATTCACGCGAATAGAAGCGCGCGATAAGAAGAAACGTCCTACTGTAACACGATACACCGCGCGCAGCAAAGCGGAAGGAGGAGCGAACGATGACTGTCTACGAATCGTGTTCGAAAAATTTTTGTGTATCATGTTACAGTAGAACGTTTCTTCTCGTCGCGCGCTTTTATTTGCGTGGATTGGCCGATCTTTTTTATATAATAACTCAATAATTATTGCGTAAATCGCAAAATGGTAGAGGACTTTTCTATTCGGTTTAACTCACTTTACCTGCACACGACGAATGAAGCGACAATTACCGGACACCCTGTATATATGGTAGGTATATTTGAAACGCGAGCTTCGCGGCGCGGGTCGTATCGTTATATCACCCCCTCCCCTCCCACCGGTTAAGGAGGCCTGAACTTTGAGGTATTTGAACAAAATAATTACAAAAATACCTCTTAGCTGATACGTCGTCGGTATGTCAATGCGCTGGTTTTACTGAAGCGCATCACCCAGCGGCCTTGCGAAGAGCGGATTTTATATTTCCGGGACATACGGACGGTGAAATGTGACATGTCAAATTCGATGCCCGGCGCGATGCAGACGCAAATCGGAGGAGGTGGCAAGGGGCCGGAGGGCAGTTGCGGCTTTTCAGTCTCCGTGGTCTCCTTGCGAGGCGTCGGCGGTGGCGGCGTCAACATAAGCCCCTCTAGTTTTCGGCGATTCACATGATCGGATTGCTGCACCATTGTTCCGACTCTGGGTGGCTGTGGTGATGGCGACCGTGCCGGTGGTTCCGGAATCGGAACCAGGGACCGGTGGCTGATCGGTCTCGGCCAAGATCTCAATTTCTTCGCGACTGACTCGCTCGACATCTTGATAACTAGTGTCTTTTTCGTTTGGATTTGGTCGTTATAGGTCGTTATTAATTTCGGCAGTGGTGTCATCTGAATTTTCTTTCTCGGTCTCGGTATTGTTATTGTTTTTCCCTCGTCGTCTGATTCTGTGTCGAGCGTGGGATCATCGTTTCTGTTATTGTTTATTTTGACCCGTGTGCGGGTTTTAAATCTTGTAAGTGTACGTGTCGGTACCATTTTCCCGTCGGCTGCATAAATCTACGATGACTGGAAAGATGACTCGTACTTTGAGCGGGCCGACAAATTTAGGCACAAATTTCGCATTAAATTAAATCGCTCGGTTTGACAGAGGGTGGTCGCGCTTTCACACCCATTCTCCAACTTCCGGTTTTTAAGGACGTTTTCGCAAGTTATGTTTTTCTTGTCATTGAAACGCGCGAGCTAGATTAATGCGAATGAGTTCGTAGACCGCGTTTAGGCTAGTTTTGATGCTATTCGGATCAGAGGGCAGTTGATCTAGCGGCGCGATTAGCACGTGTAACTCTCGGCCATGATTAAGAAAAGCGGGCGTATATCCGGGTGGCATCGTGAACTGCGGTGTTATAAGCAAACTATAGCGCCGGTAAATTTTCATCCCACGTACGATGATCTTGGTCGACGTATTGGCTAATCATTGTCTTAAGCGTTCGATTAAATCTTTCAGTGGGATTGCAATGCGGAGCGTAGGCCGGCGTGGTCCGGTATTTGATGTTGAATGTCAATCTCTCGATGAATTTCTTTGACGTAAACTGCGTCCCGTTATCCGATAATATGGATTCCGGACATCCGTGACGCAAAATCACTCGCTCAGTGGTGGTAGCGGTGGCCTTGCGAAGAGGCGCCATTTCTGCCCACTTTGAGAAACCAACTTGCACCACAAGAAGCCCAGTGTGCCCTCGGCGTGATCGTGGTAATGGCTTGACGAGATCGATGGTGGCCTGAGCCCAAAGCCGCTCCACGGCGCGGTAGCGTGTAACATGCCGGCCGGGGCCCTTTGGGCGACTTTGTGGGCTTGACAATTCGTGCAGTTTCGTACGTAAGTGGCAATGTCGCGAAACATTCCTGGCCAGTAGAATTTCTCTGCTACCCGGGCAATTGTTTTGGCGATGCCCAGGTATTCGGCTATCGGGCGTCATGGTGGCGTCGCAGGATCTCTAGACGTTGCTCCTTGGTACACATTCCTTCCACTGTGTGTCGGCTGAGATGTCCTTGAAATTCAGGCTGTGCAGGACGTGGTGCCACAATTTTCCGTTGTCAATTCGGTAGTCGGGGTGGGTATCCGAATCTCGGAAGACGACGCAGATGATCGGATATCATATAATCGGCGATACCACGGACATCAGGGTGGACCGACGGCGCAGGTAATCGGTTGCCGCGACAGGGGGTTGGCGACGCGGTTCAGAGTGCCCCGCCGGTATTTTACTTTTAAATCATATTGTTGCAACTCGAATAGCCACCGAGCCAGTCGGTCCAAATGCTGCAACCATTTAAGCGACAGATGATCGGTAATCACGGTAAAGGCGTACCCTTCTAGATAGTTTTCCATCCGGCGAATTCCCCATACGACGGCTAGGCACTTTAATTCAGTCACACTGTAATTACACTCGATGGGATTCAAACTGCGACTTGCGTACACGCTCTCCTTTGACGAAATATTGTGTGAGGACCGCGCCAAGGCCGCTGGTGCTGGTGTCAGTTTGTAATACAAATCGGCAGTTAAAATCTGGGCAGGCAAACACGGATGCCGTAATCAACGTGATTTTAAGCGTACGGAATGCAGCTTTCGACTCGGGTCCCCACGTCCATCGGGCGTTTTTGCGCGTTAACCGCATGAGAGGGGCGGCAAGGGTCGAAAAGCAATAAAACGGCGATATCAGGACGCTATCCTCAAGAATTGCTGGACTTGTTTGATCTGTTCCTCGTGGGGTTTTGCGACATAACCGACCGCGTTGGGATAACCGGTGCGCGGTTTGATCATTAATGAATGACACCTCCAAGCCAGTGACGAATAAGGCCAAAAAACTGTGTCCCTGAATTCTCACCAAGATGTGCGGCCGCGGCGTGTATTCTATGTAAAGCTTTGAAAAGCGGAATTGGCCGCGGCGGTCCCGATCCGTCCCACGTTTCCCGTCGGTGGGTGGCACTCCTTCGTGAGTACCCCGTCTTTGCCGCATTGGGAGCAGAATTTCTTCGGAGGTCGCTTACAGTTGAAACGCGTGTGTCCCGGTTGTTTACAACGCCAACAGCATTTGTTTTATTATATAACGCCGCGGTGGTCGGTTTCAGCGTGTCTTTTTACATAGCGCCCTACGCTGCTGTTCGGTTTCTTCAAATTCCGCGGCGCGGACTTACAATTCCGCAAGACTCCCGGCGTCGTCGTATCGGACATACAGCTTGTAATCAGGATTCATATTTTCATAGAGGCGGTCGAGTTGTTCCGCGCGAGAGTAACCCCTCGCGTCTCATTAGGTCAGAATCTCGGTGGCATACTTAGTGAATTTTTCATTCGCTATCTGTCGGCGATCGGCAATCGCGACGGAGAGCAGCCTGGTACCGTCGCGGTAAAAATTATATGCACAGTCGAAGTCCCCCCACCCGTACCAATTGAGCTGATTATTTTGGCACCAAAGAAGAGGTTCCCTCCTCAATAATTCCGGCACCCCTTTCAGTAGTTGCTCTTCGGTAACCCCGTACGAGTCGCGCAATTCCTCAATGAGTTCCAGGAACGCAAGGGGAGATGGACCTTCCGCCGAAATGACACCCCATTTTCTGATCTGGTTCATGGTGCGGGTGTCATCAAAGGATGTTGAGGGTCGGGTCGGTTGTAGCACGGCGTCTAAGGGCTCGTTTGTTGGGGCGAATGCATTCCGTGCGAGTGTTGAGCCGGTTGTGGACGTATCCATTACGCGGCGCAGTTCATTTAAGGTACCAGTCGGATCAAGCCCTGCTTTTGCCGCGAACGCGACGAGTTCTTTCCTTAGGGAACACATCCACGTTTTCATCGAATGGAGTCGTTCGTTTTTTGGATTCGGTGGCGGTCAGGTCCCTGTTCGGGCGCCAATATAACGTACCGCTTTCCGGTGCGGCCGGATTGCTGAGTCGGGATTACAAGGTTTGGGAAAAGGTAATCCAAGAAGCGTACGACTCAATTACGTAACAATATTTAACAAGTGTTTATTGTGCTTTTTACAAGTGTACATGTGCCTGAAGGCGTGTGTGTTTTTTTTAAAGTGGGGGAAATGCATTACGCACCGTAGGTGCTGTTGGCGCGCACCCGTGTGTCGGACTAGGCATTTGATGCCCTACCGACTAAAACCTTAAATCTTTTATGGCCTGTGTGATGCCCCCGCGGTACCGCTCTCTCCTCTACAAAACATGTGCACTAAAAAAATGCGTGTTCTGCATTTCCGACATTCCACATTTTGCTGGACAGTCTGGCATATCCTCATATTTGAACCTATGGAAGGCTTTATAGCATCCGTGGTTAGACAGCATCTGCGTCAGGTAATAGTTGACTTCCCCATGCTTGCGGTTAATCCAACTCTCCACCTTGGGGATTAGACGGTGTGTCCATCTCCCCTTCACAGATGTGTTCCATTTTTCCTGCCACCTCTGAAGGCTATCCTGTCTTGTGATCCTTTTCAGTTCCTTCTTATCCTCTGGGTTTGTACTTCTCTGCTCGTACAGTTGCTTTCTTTTTATAGCTATCACCTTAATTAGTATCATTCCTGCAATGACACACGCAACATTGTCGGACACCGTACGGAAGGCACAGGCCACTCTTAGAGCACTAAGACGGTGGATTGCCGCCACCTTCCTTTGATATTCTTCGATCTTCAGGACATTGCCCCAGATGGCTATGCTGTACGTGAGTACAGATATTACCACTGAGACCAGGAGTTTTCTTCTATCTTGTCTTGGGCCGCCGATATTGGGCATTAGCCGCGCCAGCATCGCGGCCACATTTCTTGCTTTCTTTGTGATCTACTCAACATGTTGCTTGTAGTTAAGTCTGGAATCCAACATCACTCCCAAGTACCTGATTTGCGACTAAGAAGTGATAGTACAGTTTCCCACGTCAAGAGTGATTGTCACCAGTTGCTTCCTACTCGAGAACAGCACCGCTTCTGTTTTGTGGCTAGCCAGTTTTAAATCGACCGAGCTCATCCATCGTTGCACTTCATCGTATGAGTCTCTTAAGATGCGGTTGTTTTCTTCCAGATGTTTCGTGACGATTTCGAGCCCCACGTCATCCGCAAAAACTATCATCTTTGCTCCTGCCGGTAGTTTTAACTTCAGCAAGTCGTCGTACATAATATTTCACAGAAGAGGACCCAGCGCTGAGCCTTGGGGTACCCCTCCTGTAATCCGATAGTTACGTGGACCGTCCTCTGTGTCATACATCAATACACGTTTACTGAAGTAGCTTTTGATCATTTTCTCAGGTACTGAGGTGTCTCCAGCTTATCCAGCGCTTTGCCGATGATGTCCCATCTGGCTGAGTTGAATGCATTCTTGACATTCAGAGCCGGAAATGCACAGTACTTCTTATTGCCCTTTTTCCATCGATCTCCAGTGATTGCTTGTTTCGCCGTGCTCATCACGTGAATGATGGCATCTATTGTGGACCTCCCTTACCTGAAGCCTGGTACTGGTTGTCTTCGAGAGAATGTCCAACAGCAGCTTCAATCCGGTTGTGGATAATTCGCTCCAAGATCTTTCTAGCTGTATCCAGCATGCACAATGGGCGATATGACGACGGATTGTTAGGTGGTTTGTTGCCCTTGGGCAGAAGAACAAGTCTCTGTCGTTTCCATTGTTCGGGAAATGTTTCCTCCGCGAGGCATGCGTTGTACATCTCTAGGAACATCTCAGGGACTGCCTGTTTTGCCGTCTTTAGCGCTATATTGAGGATATTGTCCATCCTCGACGCCTTATTATTTCTTATCTTGTTGTAGGCTTGCAATAGCTCCTCTCGGGTAATCGGAGGGATAATTTCATCCTTCTCTTGACCCACTTGGTAGTCGAATGGCTCCTGTGCCGAGAAAAGTACTGTTATAATTTTCTCCAGTTGTTTAGGACATGTAGGTTGTTGATTCGATTGGCCCTTGAGCTTACAGGGTTTGTCCGGAAAGTAATGCGTCGCATTTTTTTAAAAAAGAATTTATTGATCGCATAGGTAAAACAACTTAAAATTGTTCGAAGTATGACCCTTCTGCGTCAATACATTTTTGCCAACGCGATTTCCATGCGTCATAAGATTTCTGGAACTCCTTGACTGGGATGCTGTTCAGGGAGGCCGTCGAAGTAGCTTGTACGTTGTCAACCGACTCGAGCTGTTGTCCTTTGAGCTCCCTTTTCAGCCGAGGAAATAAAAAAAAGTCCGCCGGAAATTGGGATTATCTGCACAGAGTTGCTTGAGTTCTTCACAAACTTCCACTCGGTGTTGCTTTTGCGCATCGGTCAACACTCTGGGCACAAGTTTTGCGCAAATCTTCCGCATGGCCAAGTCTTCCGATACAATCTCGTGAACAATCGTTTTCGGCAAGTTCAATAATTCCGACATTAAGCGAACATTCATTCGACGGTCTGAATTCAATAATTGGCGCACACGAGTCACATTGTCGTCCGTTCGCGATGTTGACGGGCGTCCTGCGCGGGCCTCGTCGGCGACCTCCTTCCGACCTTCTCTAAACATCTTGTGCCATCTGTTTGACTGCGATTTGGAAAGGCAATCGTCCCCGAAAACTTTCTTGAGCATTTCAAAAGTTTCCAGCGGCGTCTTGTCCAGCTTCACGCAAAACTTTATCGCATAGCGTTGCTCTATCGTTCTCTCCATCACAAGTTCGACGCGACCACTAAGCAGAGGTTCACAGAATAAGCCGTCCTAACCCTCCAAGCGCATGGAAACAATTGAGCGACCTACCGTTGGAAAGCTAAGGGTACCCCCCTTCCTCCCCAACCGGTCCCATCGCTCTGCGATGTATAGTCGCGTCACAAAAAAATGCGACGCATTACTTTCCGGACAAACCCTGTAGTCATAACGATCTTGTACGGTCTTCTCCACAGATTGCCATCCACTTCCTCTATGAGCTCGACCCAGTATTGTCTTTTGTTACGTTTTATAGCTTTGGTCAGTCTGGATTGAGCCAGCTTAAATGCTGGTTCTAATCCAGGAAAAGACGGCTTCTTCTTAGTTTGTTGCGCCATTCTTCTTGCCCTGTTGTTATCCGCTCGAAGCTGTGCTATAGTGTCATTCCAATACACTGCTCTGTGCGGATTTCCGTTTCTACGGCGAGTCATGGCGACGTCACAAGCTGCTGTCATCCCTTTCAGGACCTCTTCAACTTTTCCCTCTGCTGTTAATCCCTCTAAGCATCTATTTTGGATATATGCGCGTAGTGCATCCGCATCAAAAGTGCTCACTTTCCAGCCTCAGAATTTCCTCTTCCTCGGTGCTCATCCTTCACGGTGCTGTTGTCTTGCTATGTCCCATCTGATCGCGAGATGGTCGCTCAGCGTGCACGAATCCATCACGCACCAGCAGTTATCGTCTTTTGTAAGGGTACTGCTGACGAACGTTAGATCCACGGTCGAGCTCTTCTCATCCAGAACAAACGTCGGCTGCTTTCCGTCATTGAGCAGTGTGATGTTAAGCACGGAAAACGCTTCCCAGAGGGTTTGCCCTCTCTTCTTCGTCTCCCTGCTGCCTCACTCCACTGCCCAGGCGTTGAAGTTACCTGTGATAGCCATTGGATAGCGGTCTTTAGCATCCATCACCAGTCGATCCACCGCATCTTATACAGAGCTTTGCTATGTCCACTGGCGAACTGCACTTCTTAGCAATGTGGCCAAACTGCCAGCATCTAAAGCACTTAGTTGGTTTAAGCACCTTAACGCACGCGGCAGTTCGACCAGTTAATACGCACTGTCTTCTTCTGCAATAACTTCTTTGCTACGTCCGGTGTCAATTTCAGTAAGGCTGCACGCGTGCCGCTATAGGTTTCACGCACAGACACCACCGACTCGATCCCAAATTTAATGCCAAGCTCCTTCTGGACTGCTTCATGGGCTTCTTTCGTCGTTGTTCCGTCCATATGTACCACTTCCAGCATGACCGTCTGGACTCTAGCAATGATTATAACATCGTCCCCCAAGGCGTTATTAATTGCCGTGTTGAGTTCTACAATAACTTGCTTGTATTGTTCAGGACCAGTAGGATCCCCCGCTCGAGTCTTGCGCACACGTGCACCCTTTTTGTCTACTTCTTGAAGAGTTGGATCTTTCTTCATCTTTTTTAAGATTTCGGCGAACGTCATTCTCGCCCCCGGCTTCACAATCAAAGCACTTGGTCGGGCTCGGCGATTTCATTGTCCCTCCTGCTCTTTACGTTTCTTGTCTCTTGTTTTGTCTTTTTTTCTTTTTTTTCTTTTTTTTTGTTCTCACCTTTTGCCACGGCGTATCCTTCGGGGCATTTGGTGCTATCGAACCGTCAGCGTCCCCGCCTGTCTCGTCTGGTTTAGGCTTGTCCTTTTTCTCTCTTACCTTTTTGTTTTACATGCATCTCCTTGAGGCGGTGAGATTTATTTCCGCTTTGGAGTTATCACGACATCGTTTTCCCTTGATCGCAATGATTTGCCAAATAAGGGCGAGGTCTGAGATTCCGCCGTTTTTTGCACACTTGCCATCAATACTGCGAAGCCCGCATCAAGCTTCGCCACCTTGGCGTATGTTAATCGCATGGTGTTTATGTCCGTCCTAAGTTCTTCATGGACATTGGTCCTAGTAGATATATATTTAAGCATGGTGTTTATTTGCGCCTCAAGCTTTCCAAACTCCTGGTTCCACTCTTTGCAGTGCTGTTTGTTCGGAGCGAAGACCGCTGCGAGACCCAAAGAATCCGTTCCCATCATACTGCAGTAGTTTACTGACGACGAGCGGGAGCCTACATCGGCACCCCCGAACGCCGGCACTGAGGTATCCCTTTTCTGCACCGTAAACTTAATTTCGTTTCTTAACTCTGCCATAATTTCTCTATTTTGTTGTGTTTAGTCCGCGGGAGCTATTTTATTTCATTCCTACTCTCCGTCGCGAGACGCATACAGTGAGCATTCCCCTATCCGCCACCTGGGGACGCGCAACATAGCAGTGTCATCTCTGTCCGTGGTGAAGGCGTGCGTGCGTGCGTGTATATACTGTATAGGTATATTTGGAACTTCAAGATGACTCAGGTGCTTACCGGGCATGGATGCTTTGGTAGGTACCTGAGTAAAATCGGGAAGAAGCGCACGGCGCGGTGTTGGCATTGCAACGCCGAGGAGGACACCGCGTAGCACACCTTGGAGTGGCGTGCTGCGTGGATAGAAGAGAGAGAGAGGAGTTGAAGGCGAAAGTGGGAGAGAACCTCTCCCTCACCAGTGTGGTGAGGGAGATGGTATCGGCAGAGGAGAAGTGGGAAAGCTTCTCCTCCTTTTGCGAAAATGATGTCGCGGAAGGAGAAGGAGAAGAAAAAGAGGGAAAGAAAAGGAAGGAGAGAAGGAATGGCTACCAGTCCAGCGGCGGAGAAAGAAGAGAAAAAAGACGGACAAGGGGGTAGTCTCCCCTCCTCGTCCGTCGAATGCGGGTATGCCCATAGACGGCGGAAACCGGGGGGGGGTTGCTCCCACTTCCAGACTCACGCAACCAAACGTGGAACCAGGATGAGGCTTTTGAGAGGGGGGGGGTGCAGGACATAGGTCCGCACCTTTCTCCCGGGTGCCTCACGGGAGGGAGACGACTCTTCTCTTCCGCCATCGTCGGTGAGTGTCCACCTAGGTGGTCCCATTTGTGCCGGCGGAGGTCGGGAGAGGGACGCCTCTACACATAAACCTACATCGATAAAGTGCAGGTCGAGGGTCTCGGTGGGGATAATACCCCATTGACCCCCTCTTGGGTGGAGGAGCGCGGGCGCATCG